TATACTCCAGCCTGGGCAACACAGTGAGACCCCAACTTAAAAAAAAAAAAAGAAGAAAAAGAGAAGGAGGGGGAGGAAGAACAGTACCAGTGGAATCTATACTCAGGGCGACCCTTTCTCCTGCCCTGGCCCAGCTACCTGCCAGGAAGATGACTCAAGCTGCTTACGCAGTTTAAACTTTCCAGCTTCACACGGAGATCAGCAAAAAGAAACAGGTGGAATGAATCTATTTAACGCAATACCGGCCCAACGTTACCATTTCAGCATGGAATCGAGATAAAAATGACCCATTCTACATTTTTTTTTTTTTTTTTTGGTCTGTACTGAGCCCTGGATGTTTGTGGTACGTTTTTCACTGACAACTCATCTCAATCTGGATAGATTGAGCCGCGTGGGGCGGCCACGCTGGACAGTGCGGGAGACTCGTGCCACCATCTTGTCACCAGTGAGCCCACCCCCACTCACAGCCCAAAGATTCCACCAACACCCAAGTCAGTTCTGTCCCTCCTCAGCTCAAAGCCCTCCTAGTGGCTCCAATCTCAGAGTAAAAGCCAAAGTCATCAGCTGGCCCCTTCCTCTTCCTTTTTTTTTTTTTTTTTTTTGAGTTAGGGGTCTCCCTGTGCTACCCAGACTGGAGGACAGTGACACCATTACGGCTCAGCACAACCGCAACCTCCTGGACTTGGATGATCCTTCCACCTCAGCCTCCCGAGTAGCTGGGATGACAGGCATGCACCACCACACCTAGCTAAATTTTTTATTTTATGTTTTTCAGAGACGAGGTCTTGCTATGTTGCCCAGGCCGGTCTTGAACTCCTGGGCTCAAGCAACCTGCCAGCTTCAGCTTCCCAAAGTGCTGAGGTTACAGGCATGAGTCATTGTGCCTGGTCCCCTCTCCTCTCTTGGCCCTCGCTGACTCAGTTCCAGCCTCACTGGACCCTTTCCTCTTCTTCACATCAGACACGTCTGCCTCAGGGCCTTTGCATGTGATGTTCCTTCTACCTGCACTGCTCTCTGCCCCGATGTCAGCAGGAGTCGCTTCTTGAGTCTCCACGCCAATATCTTCCTGCTGCCCTCCGTAGCCCAGTGCCCCCACCACCCTAACCCTCCTGATTAATTTTTCTCCATGGCTATCTCTACCGGATATGTTTGTGCTTTTTGTCTGTCGACCGTTCCCCCAACCAGAAGGTCAGCTCTATGTCTCTCCTATTCGTGGCTATAACCCCAGGGCCCAGCTCATAGTAGGTGTTCACTAAACACGTGCCAAATGGTGGATGAACAATGGCCCCCGTGCACCCTGGGGCAGGCTCTGGGACTGGTCCATCACTGAGCCCTCCGTGGGCCTGTTCTCAGCCAGGGAGATCAATGTCATGACGATCCACACCCCGCAGCACAGACAGGCAAAAGCCCCTGCCCACGATCACCTGGTCTGCTTTCTGCCCAACCCTGGGTCTGGCACATAGTAGGTGCTCAAGAAACTGCAGCTCTGTTTTTTTTTTGAGTTGGAGTCTCTGTCACCCAGACTGGAGCGCAGTGGCACGCTCCCGGCCACCGCAGCCTCGACCTGCTGGGCTCCGGCGATCCTTCCGCCTCAGCCTTCCGAGTAGCCGGAACTACAGGCACGCGTCACCACACCCGGCTAATTTTGTATTTATTGTACAGACGAGGTCTCACCAAGTTGCCCAGGCTGGTTTTGAAGCCAGGGGCTCAGGCAATCCTCTCACCTCAGCCTCCCAAAGTGCCGGGATAACAGGCTGAGTCACCAAGCCCGGCCGAAACTGCAGCTCTTAACTGGACCAAGGATCCGGGTTCATGTCCAAGAGCACTGGAGGAGGAGCCGGGGAGGTGGAAGACAGAGGTGAATTGGAAAGGGCGGGGAAGCAGAGAGAGAAGGGTCGGTGTGATGCTGCAGGGGGTAGTGGAGAGCCATAGCAGAGTCTGGACAACAGCCAGGCTCAGCTTGAAGCCTCAGAGCCTGGCCTCGTCATACTCCTCAGTCTGACGGCAGGTCACCAGAAACCTGGGCCTCCCTGGAGGCTCCTCTCTCTGCGTCATCCGCGCCTGAAATCTGGTTCCACGCCTGGTGTCTGGTTCCACAAACACTCTGGTCTGTGCTGGACGACGGGCAGGGCCGTGCTGGGGACACAGGGTGACTGCCCCTCCCTGCCCTCTGAGGCCCTCAGTCCTGTAGGGCAGACAGACCCCTCCCTAGACCCCTAACTTAGTGCGAACCCAGGAGGTCACAGGGAACCAGGGGTTGCCCGCCCCAGCCTGGAAGTCCAGGAGGGCTTCCTGGAGGAGAAGGTTGCGGACAAGCAGTGGAATAGAGCAGAGGAAAGTAGAGACATGCTGGGTGGAGGGTAAATCAAACAGAATAGTCGGAGCAGAGAGTTCCTAGAAGAAGACATAGTTCACGAGGCTGATCCAGTGGACAGGGGCCGGGCCAGGCCTCACAGGCCATGGGGAGGAACCTGGCTTTCTCCTGAGGGCAACTGGGAGCCACAGCAGGGAGGGGTGGGGCAGTTTCTGTTTTAGAAAGACCTCTGTCTGCTGTGTGGAGGGACAATGGAAGGCAGAGAGACCAGGGCCAGAGACTAGGGAAGAGTTGGGGGGAACCCAGGCAAGGAGGGGTGTCACCTGGACCGGGGCAGGGACCACAGGAAGAGACAGGAGGGCGCGCAGGGGAGCCGTGTTTGGGGACAGTCTCCCTAGGGCTTGGTGGGGAGGCATCAGGGTTGAGGCCCGGGCCTCTGTCCCAGGGATGAGGTGGCCGGTGGCGTCGTCCCTGATCAGAGGACCAGGGGTCTGAGCCCGTCTGGGGGAAGGTGCCCGGGTCAGCCGGGGACAAGGAGAGGGAGAGGCGTCGGGCTGCTGGGACAAGGTCCGGGCTCAGGGGAGCCGGCTGGGCGGGACCAGAAGGGTGAGCCGAGGTTGCAGGGGGGGAGTGGGAGGCTCAGCACATGCCTCCTCCGCGCCCCTCCCCGGCCTCACCTGAGCCTCCTCCCCCTCGTCAGAGCCCTGGCCCACAAGGGCAGCCCGGGACACGGTGCAAACCGGGACAGGTGAGACGAGGGGATGGCCCCCTGCCCAGACGCCGGCAGCCGGGCCTCAGGGGACCCAGGACCCAGGAGCCACCGGCTGCGGACGGCGGCAACCCTCTGCTGGGATGGCTGGCCCCATCGTGGGGGTCAGAATCTCCAGCCCCATGCCCCCCCCACCTTAAAATGGCAAACCCCCTTTCCGACACAGAACCCAGTTTACTTTTCCTTCGTTTACAAATGTCACCCCTCAAGGGCAGAGAGTGTGTCTGTCAGTGTCAGCACCCAGAAGGTGGCTGGCAGATGGTAGGTGCTCGTTAAATATTTGTCCATATTCCTCCAGCTGGGTGCGGTGGCTCACACCTGTAATCTCAGCGCTTTGGGAGGCCGAGGTGAGAGGATGGCCTGAGTCCGGGGGGTTCAAGACCAGCCTGGGCAACTTGGCAAGACCTCATCTCTACAATAAGCCAAAAAATTAGCCGGGAGTGGTGGTGCACACCTGTGGTTCCAGCTACTTGGAAGACTTGAGGCCAAAGGATCACCTGAGCCCAGCCGGTCAAGGCTGCGGTGGCTGTGAGCGTACCACTGCACTCCAGCCTGGGTGACAGAGTGAGACTCCAACTCAAAAAAAAAAAAAATTCATTCAATCAGCAAACGAGTGATTTATTGAGAATTCTGTGCCAGACGTCTCCTAGGTCAGCTCACTGAATCCTCACAACAGCCCTATGAGGTAGAGACTATTATTATTTCCATTTCACAGGTAAGGAAATTGAGGCTCAGAAATTCCAAAATGTGCCAGGGTCATGGAGGTAGAGAACAGTGAAACTAGGTCCAGAGTCCGTATTTTATTTATTTATTTACTTACTTACTTATTTTAATAATAGAAACAGGGTCTCACTATGTTGCCCAGCCTGGTCTCAAAGCCCTAGGCTCAAACGATCCTCCCTCCTTGGCCTCCCAAAACCACTGGGATTATAGGCATGAGCCACTCGGGCCAAGAGCCGGTACTTTTAATAACAGTAACATCAACCAGACCTCGTGTTTGGGGCACAAACCCTCAAGGCCCTGGCTGAGTTCCCGACGTGCGGCATCTCACTAAATGCTCTCGACAGCCCCGAAGTCGGGCCCATAGGGTCTCTATTCTTCAGAGTAATAAACAGAGACTCGGGAAGGGGCAGACAACAGCCCCACTCCAGGTAAGTGCAGATCCGGGGTCAGAACTCTGCTCTCTGATTCCAAAGCCTCCACATACGCCCATTTGACAGAGAGGGAAACCGAGGTCTCCAGAGAGGGCGGAGGGGAGGGTGGGTTTCTGGGCACTTTTCAGGAGACCCGAGGAAAGCGTGCGGCCATCAGCTTCCTGCCCTTGTCTGGCTTTGGAAACAGAGCAGGGCTCAAACCCCCTCTCCCTGCAGGAACTCAGGCAAGTCAGAGTCCCTGCCCAGTGCCTCAGTTTCCCCATCTGCAAATGGGGGTCCTACAGGGGCCCACCTCACGGGACTGTTTTGGCATCCACGGAGATAACACCTGCGGGTCGCCCAAGTGGGAGCCTGGGTGCAGCCACTGCTTGGGGATTTCCTCCTGGGTGACCCCTGAGCTCTCCAGGAGGCCTCAAGCCGGGGTGGTCCCTGAGAACTGCCTGATCCCTTCCCCCGCCCTCCTCTCCTCCCCGGCGACCTGGTTCCTCTCCCAGCACCAAATCCGGGCCTTCGGCACAAAGAGGGTTAGCCAGCTGCCCCAGGAGGCCTGGCCGGGTCACGGCCCCTGGCCGGAGCCCGCCACACCCACCCTGGTGCCCGAACCGGGCCCCAGATCCTTGGTGACTCAATCCCTCCAAATTCAGGTGATCTCCCCCGGCTCCAAGTCGCCGAACCCTCCCAGGTCCAGACGCAGACGGAGCCGAGACCCAACCAAGAAGGGCGTCCGAGCACTGGGACTCCGAGACCCAGGCGGGGGCGAAAGATGGCGCTGACCCGGCACAGCTGGCTGCTTCTCGGCGGTGAGCAAGAGTGGCACCCCAGCACCCAGCCCTCGAGGGCCTCGGGGAGGGGAGGGGACCCCCAGCCCGAGAGAAGGGAATTGTGAGCCCAAGGCCCAGCCTGCGGGGTAGGGAGGGCCACTCTCCTTCACAACAGGCAATTTGTCCCTCCGGAGACACCGGCTCGGGGCAGGCCAAGGATGGCCACCCAGAGAGGCCTGCAGGGTGGGCTTGGGAGATTTCTTCCTTTTTTCTTTTTTTTGAGTCGGAGTCTCACTCTGTGGCCCAGGCTGGAGGGCAGTGGCACGCTCACGGCCACCGCAGCCTCGACCTGCTGGGCTCCAGCGATCCTTCCGCCTCAGCCTTCCAAGTAGCTGGAACTACAAGCATGCACCACCATGCCTGGCCAGTTTTTTGATTTATCGTGGAGACGAGGTCTCGCCAAACTGGTCTGGTCTCACACCCCTGGGCTCAGGCAGCCCTCTCTCCTCGACCCCCCAAAGTGCTGGGATGACGGGCTTGAGCCACCATGCCCGGCCTGGCTTTGGAGATTTCTAAGCCAAGGGCTTAGGCTTCATTCTTGTGGCGTGCCCTGAGGCGCTTCAGAAGCCTTGACTAGGGTGAACTCCAACCAGCGGCTGCATCCCACCCTGAAGACGTGGATGTGGACTTTGCCTCTGCGTCCTCATCTATGAAATGGGCCGATTTGGCAGGGTCACTCGAAGGTCACAGGAACCAGTATTGATTAGCACCTACTGCACGCCCGGAGCCTTCCCGAACACGTTGAACCCCACCCTGTGAGGGAGGCCCACTCATGACCCCCACTTTACAGAGGAGAAAACCGAGGCTCAGAGAGGTAAAGTCACCAGCTGGCATCACACAGCCAGGATGTGGCAGGGCTGAGAGCCCAACCCACAGCCCCCCTCGCTCCCAGCCGTGATCTAATACCCTGGAAAGTACCAGAAGCCAGGCCAGGGGTGGAAGTCCTTCTTCCAGGAGAACTGCCTCGGCCGCCCATTCCAGGCAACCGCCCGCACCTCAAGCCCAACCCGCCTGTCGGGTTTGGGGCCGCTCTGATGGCGGACGGGGCAAGGGGCGAGGAGCATTCATCACGGTCCAATTCTGCTGTGGCTGAGCTCAGAGAGGCAGAAGAGTCCAGGCAGGTTTCACGGGAATTGCTTGGGACCACCCCAGGCACACAGTAGGTGCTAATCAACACGGCTTACCGTGACCTTCGAAGACATCCAGTGAGGGACCGGCAGGACCGGCAATGAGCCAGGCAGGGTGGGCCGGCTGGACCCCATGAGACTGGGTTTGGTGACTGTCACGATGGGAATATCCTCTGCGTCCAGCTTAAAGCCAAAGGTCCCCTGGGCTGAGTGCTTGTTTGTGCACAAGGCATCATGCTAGATCCACAGCACAGCCCATCACGTCCAATTCTCACAAGCCCACCCTGGGCCCGGGATGCTGTGCTTCACTGACATCTATTGAGCACTTACTGTATACCTGGCAAGCTTCTAAGCACATCGTGTGCAGAGTCCTTCAACCCTGTGAGGTAAGCCGTCCTGACACCTCCTACAGAGGTGCAGAGAGGGGCAGTGCCCTCAAAGCCACGCAGAGAAACACCGCGAAAGACCCCGTGTGGTTAAGAGGCTGGGAAGCAGAAGGCAGCAGGTTCAAATCCTGGCTTTGCTTGTCCTCGTTTTAATTGAGGACCGTGGGCTGGGATAGCCCCTTTCTGAGCCCATCTTCTTCTCCGTCAAATGGGGGGAGTCAGCCAGGCATGGTGGCTCACGCCCGTCATCTCTCAGCACTTTGGGAGGTGGAGGCAAGAGGATCGCTTGCACCAGGAGTTCGAGACCAACCGGGGTAACATAACAAGACCTCGACGCCACAAAACAAAAAAAGTAGCCGAGTGTGGTGGTGTGTGCCTGTATGGTGGTGTGTGCCTGTGGTCCCAGCTACTCGGGAGACTGAGGCAGAAGGTTCACCTGAGCCCAGGAGGGCGAGGCCGCAGTGAGCCATGATCACGCCACTGCACTCCAACCTGAGTGACAGAGTGAGACCCTGACTCAAAAAAATGGGGGGGATCAAGTTGCCCCATCTGACCCCTCTGGCTTCTCTCCCTCAGCCACGCTTCTGAACGTGGGGGCCGAGATCTCCATCACCCCCGAGCCTGACCAGCCAGCCGAGGGGGACAACGTCACACTGGTTGTCCACGGGCTTTCAGGGGAACTGCTTGCTTACAACTGGTACGCAGGGCCCACGCTCAGCCTGTCCTACCTGGTGGCCAGCTACATCGTGAGCACGGGCGATGAGACGCCTGGCCCAGCCCACACGGGGCAGGAGGCCGTGCGCCCCGACGCCAGCCTAGACATCCAGGGCGTCCTGCCCGGGCACTCAGGCACCTACATTCTGCAGACCCTCAACAGGCAGTTTCAGACCGAGGTGGGCTACGGACACCTTCGGGTCTATGGTGAGACACCTCCCACGCTCCCCCCCACCCCAGCCGAGCCTTCCCACCTCCCTAACGATCCCTCTTAAAAAAAAATTTCTAAAGTTTTTTTTTAGGGAAAAAGGCCTAAAATAACATTAAAATGCTCACTTCCTCCAGGATGGCTTCCAGGATTAGACTTGTCTCCTAAACCCATTCTTTGTCCCTGCAGATGGGTATATGAGGGTACCGCTACCATCCTGGCTGGGGAGGGGGAAGGCCTCGGAGCAGGCGGTGCCCGGCCCCCTCCCCCTCTGCCTCTCGCCCCCACAGAGATGCTGGCCCAGCCCACCGTCGTGGCCAACAGCACCGCCCTGGTGGAGCGGCGAGACACCCTGCGTCTGATGTGCAGCAGCCCCAGCCCCGCCGAGGTCCGCTGGTTCTTCAACGGCGAGACCCTGCCCATCGCCGTCCGCCTCGGCCTGTCCCCCGACGGCCGGGTGCTGACCCGCCACGGCGTCCGCAGGGAGGAGGCCGGAGCCTATCAGTGTGAGGTGTGGAACCCAGTCAGCGTCAGCCGCAGCGAACCCATCAACCTGACGGTGTACTGTGAGTCCTCCCGGCCCCACCAGAGAGACCCGATGTCCAGACCTCATGGTGGGGGAAACCGAGACCAGGAGAGGTGGAAGGTGGGAGCGGGGAGGCCAGGGCACACAGCGAGTCAGCAGGCGTGCTGGAGTTAGGAACTGGGGGTGCCTGGTAAAATGCACTGGACCCATCCCCCTAAAGGAGACCCACCGACCACCTCTGCTGATGAATAACCCTTCCCCGAGACACCGTCCCTGCAGAGGAAGGACTCAGGACCCCGTGGTTTTGAAAGGGAGCCGGGGAGGGAGGGGTGGCCCTGGAGGAGACACAATAAAGAACGCAACCACAGCATGCAGCCATCCCCAGGGGCAGCGGACGCGCAGTGTGGAATCCTGGGAAAATAAATCGCCGAGGTACAGGAGAGCCGATGACGTAGCGAAACTTAGAGCCTAGCACCCTAGCATCCAGAGCGTTCTGGATTCCGGAAGGCCTGCCTTCCAGACTCTGAGAATCCTAGAACTCTAGAAGCAGAGACTCCTAGAGTCTTAGACTCTCAAATCTTAGAAGCATAGATTTCTAGACTCTTAGACTCCTAGAATCTAGCAGCATCTACCCTAAAGCCCTAGAATTCTAGACTCTTAGAATGGCTTGTCAGGGGGGAAAAAATGATCTAGGCTTTTTTCTTTTTTAACGGGGCCATGGATTTCAAAAATACCTTGAAATGTTATCTGCCCCAACACACTCTTTTTACAGAAGAGAAAACTGAGATTCCCTGAGAGGGAAGTGATTTCGAGACCCCAGAGCAAGTTAGCGATCAAGGTGGGATTCGAGAAGGCCAGAGCTCTCTTCCCCTCCGCTAGGCCCAGACACTCCCAGGGACCCAGCCTGGCAGAACGAGTGCTGGCGAGGGGTGCCCGGCTCCCTCCCCCCTCCCCCTACTGCCCCCTG